TATATAGTAATATATTAATAATTAAAGAAAATTCTATTATATAAAACTCAGAATAAAAATAAGATTGAAGCTATTCCCAGATTATTAATTAACTATGAAAATTGTTATTCTTATTGTTTTCAATAATAAGATTGTATATCTTAATAGTATAAATTATTATATTATCAATAATCCTTTAAGATATTCTATATTATTCCTCTTTCTAAACTATATATATCTTTTTTATAATATTAGGATAAGTTTTATTATCTTATCACTTTCGAATTTGAATATATATATAACTCTATATATACTTTATAGTATTTATATTAAAAGATTGAAATAACTATTCGAAATATATAATATTAAACTTTTTCAGAAACTCTTTGATATAAGAAACTCTATATACTGATATATTATTCAATATCAATATTATATCCATACTATTACTCTCTTTAAGTTTTTATAATTATAATTTCAGCTTAGATTTTAAAAATCCTTTATAAAAATAATATTAATTAATCTCTTTCTTATCGCGATTCCTCTTTTTATATATAATACTCTTTTTATATATCGTATTATTAGTAATAGGCCTACACTTCTTTTTCCCTTATAGATTATATTCTCTTTTTTCTTATTATTGATTATCTATAAAAGCTAATATATATAATAAATTATATTCTTGATTTAATCATTCTAGATTTTTTTTAGTCTTTTTCTTTTCCTTTTTTATTTTAATTGTATATATAATATATAATCCAGAATGCTTTTCTAAATATATATCTTTAAAGAATTGTTTATAATTATATTGAAGATTCGAAATAAAAGGCTATTTCATATCTTTATATTCGTATTTCTCTAATATATACTATATTCTAAAAATATCTTTTTCGAAATTTCGTATTATAATTACATTAATAAAACATATCCTATTAAAAGTCTTTTTCAAGATATCAAGTAATTCTATAACTCCTCTAATTCTTTTCTTTCAATATTCAGAATTCAATTGAGGTTTTTTTGTAAGGATAATATAAGAAAATCAATTTTTATATATAATCTTTCAAAAAATCAATTTAGAAATCTTTTTATTACTTGCAGTATTCCAATTTGATATATATTGATCTACAGAAAGCTTTCTGTTAGCCCTAAATACTATAACTATAAAAACTAATTTCCTTTTTTGAAAAAATATAAAAAGCTTTTTTGTATCTCAAAAACCAATATTTTAAATATTCGATATATCAGCTAATAATATTCTATTCAGCCTATTACATATACTAATAGTCTCAGCTCGAACTATAATACATCAGCGTATTTTATTTATAATTCTTTTTAAATATCATTCTTTTTAATAATCTACTTCTTCTTAAATAATAGTTTTTCCAATTATATGTATTATTGCTTACCTATCCCCATTAAAAACCTTTTTTCAATCAGTTTTTAATACTAACAAATACACTCCCTTATTATATCAATATTTACAAAGCATTTTAATAATTTATATTAAATAATTAAATTTTAATTAAATTTTAAAAATTAAAGAAGAAAGATGGTATTCTTATTATTTATATATATACATGGACCCGGGCCCTTATCAAAAACACGCCCTCGTATTTTACAAGTAGTCTGATCTGGTCTATTAATGGGTGCACGGACTCATGGGATAGTGTAACAGAAAAGCACAATTTTATATTAAAAAGAGTGATTTTAATAATTCATTCAAAATTTAATAAATGATTGAATTCTTTGAAAATTGATAAATATAGTTTTTCAAGCATCAAAAACTGGTTTATTAAAGAATTATTTTAGAAAAGTAAAATTTGAATTCAAAAATTTAATAATATATTTTTTCATTAAAATTTTTGATAGAAGATTATATATTCTATTATTAAGATTTTAATTTGAATGATTTTAGTTTAAAATTTATTCTATATAGAATCTTTATACTTGAAAACTATATATAACAATTTCAATCAAATCGAATAATAATTTCAATTTTAATTAAATTATTAAAATCGCTCTTTTTGGTATAAAATTGTACTTTCTTTTTTGAATGTCTTATGAGTCCGTGCACCCACTGGTGGTCTGATGGATGATAATTGCTCAATATAGTAGATTTTGTAAAGATACCTACCTACCTACCTAGAGAAAAAGACCAAGTTCTCACGACTAGTCTTGAACGAATGAGATGCGAGACTTGTAGTCGATGATACCTATCTAAATAAATTTATTATCAATTGATATATAACTAGTATAGAGTTAAATATAGATCTTACCTATATGGGAATTCATGAGCGAGGTGTGCATACTATAGATACTACCAAACCTATACATATGATTTGAAATATGAAAATTAAAACTATCTCTAGGTACATAGGTACTCCGTAATTCACTTTCCCATGCCATAGGCAGATATTCATCATCTTTCTTTCAATGATATATAACCTTACATATTCATATCCATATACCTAGATAGATACATAGTAAGCCGATCTCCCTAACCCTCAATGAACAATAAAATGTAGGAACTGTAACAAAGACGGTATGCACATAACATCTATCCCACGCATCGCAACACCCTATCTGAAGTTATCTACCCATCATAAGCATGGAAGCACCGTCTCGTTCTTGCTTAAGAACAATCGTGTGAGATATGCTTCGTCGCGGAAAGGGTATCGGGCTAATGCAGGTGAATGCAGATGATGGGAAATCCACGGATTCGACAGAAAACGTATTTGTTCCTGGTACTTACCTGCCTTTCCATCAATTTTTCCTCACAAGGTTACTATGTAGCATCGACTGATTCCGCAGGGGTTGTCCCTCCTCGCTTGTAAGATTCCCTCCTTTACTCTTAACCTCGTTGAAGATTAAAACCCCTAATGACCTAGCAAATCCATAAGCATCTTCTCTCCTATCTTTCTCAATGCTATTCTCTGGTTCTCATCTCGATTCATAATAAAGAAATCTTCATTAGTCAATCTTCACAATATCAAGGCATCTAAGAGTTGATCAATATTCGCTAGAATCTCAATATTAAGAATATTGCTTGATTGCTTCACATCTATCTTCTACAATACTTCCTCTTACATCTAAACAAGTTCCCAATCAATAACTGGATCATTTTGTAAAGATAGTTGACTTGGAAAAGGTGAGAGAGATACACCTATGAGTTTGAAAGTGCGGAGTACCTCTGCTTCTTTGTCCCCTGACCAACCCAGAAACTGGCTGCCGCTGCTGCCAAACGATTGCGAACTCACATGCCGGGTGCAGGATACTAGCAAAGTCGTAGTCGAGGAGTGCAGTGATACAATATGTAGTAGGATCATAAAGCAGATTTTCAGGGACTGCAGTCGTTGTATGATGGGCTTTTCTTGCTTCATAGGTACATCGTACATTGAATAATAGTACCGGTAGTCCCTTCTCAACAAAAGCGTCAATACACTTTCAAACCCCATCTCCTTTCCAACCCTGAAGATACGAATTCGCGTCTACCTTCGCAAGCACCGCTTTCAAACAATCCCTCCAAAACTTTTCCAACCCATCCCAAGGTCCAGCACCAACACTTATCAAAGACGCACTCACGACTACACTCCTACCATCAAAATCCGCACCTCCGAAACTATGAATACATTTAGAAAGCGAATAATCCTGTAGCGCTTTCACAAACCACGTCATTTATTCCAGAACCACTTTCTTCCACTATAACTAAGCGATATCGCTTCAAAATTCTCAGCCAACAACCCCCCAAGCATCCGCTTCTGTTAAATCCAATCTGTGTGATAACAACTCATACAACCCCTATCAAAAACCTAGGGATAATAGTGGGATTGATATGATGTAGAGCATCTCGTGCAAGATTGAGAATCGCAACTTCGTTCTACACTTGTGTTTTTTGATGTATATTTTCTGTGTTTGGATTATTGAGATGTATAACACACTCCCTTGTTCTTGCGGGAATGTCGTCGCATCCGGGCAGTGGAAGTCCCGAGGTATCAGGAAGCAGGAGATGATAAGGTTAGACGAAAGTGTTGTATTTGAATGGGTGATTGTCTTTATATTGTACCGACGTGATCTTGATTAGATAGGTGTAGTTCCTGAAAATAGTCATCCATTTAGTAATCAGATATAGATGAAAAGATGCTCGAAAAGCGATCTTTAACAAACAGAGGTTTAGATACAAAATAATTATACAACATACATTACTTAAGAAATACAAAGAATCTACAAGTATCTGTTCAATATATTCAAGAGGCGACTCATAGTTGGCGTGGTTTACGTATACCGCCATGTTGATTAAAATTAATCCAACCTTGGGATATGTAGCTTATAAGGTGTGAAACTTATGTTTCAGGAGATTTCTAGAAGTATTGTAGATAGAGAGAGAGGATTCGAGTCTGTACAACTTTCTGAATATTGGCGTCTGTCTGGGATCATGTATGCTTCATATATCATGATAGTTGAGTATTTGTCGACGTATGCGAGCGGAAGTTGAAGTGCTTAGTCAGACTGTATAGTTTTTTTTTTTTTTGAATTCATCAATCTTTTTGACTACCTGAAGTACTATGTAGTGCTTCTTCTGAAGTATGAGGAAAGATTTTTGGAAAGCATCTGTAAGGTTTTGGGAGAGGTAGGGTGTGAATAGATTTCCTCCACCATCTGAAGGAAAACCAAGTACTGATAAACTTACTAGGTAGATGGCAACCACTCTATTATCGAAATATACAAATAGGTATCAAAAGTACATATGTAGCCAATTATCGAACTTGAAATTAGTATATGGATTTAATATCTGAATCTTCCAGGTGGGAGAAGCCTCCATGAAGTGCTCGCTCTCCCTCAATGCTCTACTTTTTCTATGCACTCAGGTTTATAATGCATCTACTATCTAAGAAATAGAACAAATCATAAAAATACTGAAAACAATCAAAAATGACAATATCGACTTATTTTCTACCTAACTACTTCCCTACCCACCTACCTACCCCCTCCAATCAAACTCAACACAAATGACTAGCATTCGTTCAAGAAACAATTTCATTCCCCAACAATCTCCCAATCTCCTCTGCAATTTCAATGATTCTCTCTTCTGTCAATTTCCTCCCAATAATCTGCACAGCAACTGGTGCTCCGTGATATGCTTCCGGATCATCTATTCACACATTAGTAAACCACTTCTGTGACCACGACGAACCTCTCCCTCCAAAAGAAAAGAAATAAGGCTTACATTCCCCCTGCACCATTCGATCCACCTCACTCAACCCCTCATACCCCTCCTTCCTCCCATCCACCTCCTTATCCGCAAACAACACCGGCACCACCACAGTCGTAAAATCCAACAAATTAATCACATTCATATACCCATAATACACAAACCGATCATGACGAATCGCCGCCGTCGCCGCCACAGGCGCAACAATCGCATCGATTTCCCTACCGAGTTTTTCTTCCATGAGTCGGAATTGCTCGAGGTATTCGCATTGGTATGCCCATCTTTGGAGATTGATATCCCAGAGTTCGTTGAGGGAGAGAGGGGCGTCGGTTGTGTTTGCAATGTCGGCTATATTGGGGATGGGAGGCTCGCCGGATGCGGAAAGGTCGGTGCGGATATCCTTGGGGTTATTTAGTAAGTAGGCCGATGGGGGACTTTTCATGATTTTCTTACCTTTCCAGCATCTGAACTGTATATTTTGTTGAGGAGATCTTGAGCATGGTCATGCTTGTAGGGCTTCCATTCGAAGACTTGATGCCCATTTTGTTTCAGAGTATCGACTACTTTTTTGATTCCACGAAGAATTGGAGGATGAGGTAGGACCTAAGTACTTGGTTAGCGTTTCATCGATCATAAGTATTTCTTCTGTCCGAAAAGGGCGATTAAACACTTCCACCCAGCTGTGTTTACTTGAGTTCTCATCGTTACCGCAGTCATAGCCGGATATCAAACTTATCCTCATTCCATATAGCAAATGAACTGCAAGAAAAATGCTGAGGGCCTTGAAATGAATTTGACACATACTTTACCATCAAAATCATAGTATCCAATCGTCAAGCCACCATCCGAAATTCTAGACTTTATAACATCGGCTTCCGATTGCCTCCATGGCATAGGAACAACTTTAGCATCAAATTTCCAAGGTTCTTCTGCTAGAACGGATTCCACAAACAATCGCATATCTACGCAAATCAATTACTCGAACACGAAGAATATTAAAAAAAAAAGTCTGAGGAAGTTTAACATACCTGCAACTGAATGTGTGATGGGACCACAAACACTATGCAGAGTTTCCTGACCCTCCATACTATTTGCCATCTTACCATAAGGGAGACGACCATGACTTGGACGTAAGCCATACAAGAAATTGAATGCCGCTGGTACACGAATAGAGCCACCGATATCAGTCCCAACACCAATGATTCCACCTCGGAAAGCAATGTTTGCACCTTCACCACCTGATGAACCACCGCACGACCAATTTTTATTATAAGGATTCACTGTTCTCCCGATAATATTATTGATCGTTTCACAGCACATCAAACTTTGAGGCACACTGGTTTTCATGTAAAAGACGGCCCCGGCTTTGAGCAAAAGCTTCACGAGGATTGAGTCATCATCTTCGTATTTGCCAAGCCATGAAACATATCCCATGGAAGTCTCCAGACCCTGATGAACACAGAATAAGTAGGAATTTGTAATAGATCCGTAATCTACTCACCTTAATTCTGAATTGATCCTTTAAAGAGATTGGTAGACCATGAAGTGGACCAATTGTTTTTCCCGTTTTCTTATAGTGCTCATCCAATTCCTTAGCACGTGCAAGAGCCATCTCAGGAAAGAATTCGAGAGCACAGTTTAGCTTGAAATCATTAACATGGCTCATATTGTACCCGTAAACTACTCACAAGTTGATGGGCTAGAGCAGCTCTTTTACAAAATGCCGTTGTTACTTCAACGGAAGTCAATTCACCCTTTGCCATCTTGGCTACAAGATCAGTAGCTGATGAGTTTGTGATGGAAATCTCGTCAGTGGACATCACATCACCAATATTAGTATACTCCATCACATTATCCTCGGTAGGCTGGGATTTCAAACGCCATTCCGGAGGAATACTGGCGTCGATTCGATCTTTCTTATCTTTTGCAATCTCTTGCCAAGACATGTTGCTTCGATTGACAGAACTAAATTGCGGTTGATATTTGAAGTGTTCGAAATCCCTAAAGGTCCTGGGAGGGAGAGTGAAATCTGATCTGAAAGAGTGGCAGAAGGAACAAGAGGATAGCACGACGGTATCTGATAGTGGGGTTAATGTACCTAGTACGGAGTATGTTGTAGCCGTGTAGGGCTTGAAATAGTGGATGTTTTATGTGTGGGGAAGCTGCCATATTGATATCTGCAGACCAGGTTCAGGCATTGACTAATGATGCGCGGCAAATTTTGATATGAACAAGCGCATGATACTCAGGGGCATCGGAAGCAATATTCCACGCAAAGGACAATACATGCAAAGTCTCATGAGCTCGATACAGGTTTCCGAAGATGTAGGACACATAATACAATAAGATCTAGTAGAGAACCATAACCTATTAAAAAAGACTTGGGTTAAATGTCTAAAAGAGCACGTAAAATAGAATACAGCGGGGGAACCAGGTACCAAAGATCTCAAGCAAATCATTTATGGATAACATCAGAAACTCTCAGAATGGAAAGAATCTAGGATATGGAGCAACTTATTACGAACGACAATATTCCTGGGCCCTCATCTAATTAGATGTAGAAGTTCGAGCTGAAGGGCGAGGTGTTTTTCTTGAGGACCCTGACTCGGACAATAACGGTGTACTCTCAACAGTAGTTCCACCTTCGTCATCCGTATCATGTTCTCGCGAGCCTGCAATATACCCAACGATACATCTTCCATTGGACTGCTTAACGTTAGTGAGTGTTTTTGAACCAACGGATAAATGATTTCACTTACAGCTCCACCCTCATTACTCTGTCTCTCCCTTCTAGCTTTTAGCTCGAAAGATATCCCCATAACCAACAAGCATCCTTGTAAACACCCTGTGATCAAGAACACACCCCATGTACTCCAACCACCAGCTCCTAATCTAGCAAAGAGACTCATGGACCAAACAAAGCTGCCAGGAGTTTGAATACACATCATTGGTATACTTAAGCTTCCAATATGACCAAGATTGTATGTCAACCAGATTTGAGGTATATATTGGATACCTGCAAGAATCGTAGCTATAATACCCAATGTATTGGCCCATACTCCAAGTGCATTAGGATGAGCGAGTGCCAATGATGCACTGACAACGATAGTAACGAATCCATGGAAGAGACAAACCAAAGCTACCGTGACAGCCGTGCGCCATGTATGTTGTTGTTTATTATCATCGAGCGTAGGAAGGGTCGGAGTTCGCGGGAAGAATACCATGAAAAGGACTAATCTATATGAAATTGCTATTAGCATTTGATATCTTCATTGTGGATGATCGCGTTGCGTACATTACACTGAAGCAAAACCATTGAACCCCAACTTGGGCAATACCAAGTAATCCTGCGGCACATTCAAAGGTGCTAACAGTTTTGCAACATGCCACATCCGCGCGAGATGCTGGCAGGACTATTATGTTTGCAAAAGCGCATGTTCCAGATGTTGTACCGAGAAGAATAAAGAAGGGGGATATTCCCTCTGAGGTTTTGCGACTGATGATTCGATAATGTTGAGGTAAGTAAGAAACGAGGATTCCAATAAGAATAAAGCTGGTGAAGGTATATGAGTTAGCAAGTTACTATTATGAACAAACTTCAAAGTCTGGAGAAGCTTCTTACATAGATACTGCGAGATTGATGTAGCTCACATCTTGAAGCTTTTGGCAGCGGTCTGATAAGTTATCTGTGATAGACAACATGATGGTGAATTGTGAATTGTAAATGAGATGGTTGTGTCTGCTAATGGATTATTAGAACATCCAAAGCTTGCTATTTTTATGGTGAATGAGTTCAGATCATTGGTAAGTTGTCGTGGATGTTGATGTTTATCTCGAAGTGAAGCTTTCAGAGAAATGCCATAGCTACCGGTACCCAGGCCAGGTACATAATAAGGTACCAACAAACATGGATCATCAACACGCTCAGACACGGTTCTCCCATGCTATCAGCTGATAGGAAGGCGTGAAACACAGGGGTAGCTGTTTTATGCGGCCGCATCATTCCGTGATTACTAACCAAAATCTTCAAAGTGGTGAAGACACCGGTGAGCCACCACCACTACTTCCACTTCACACCTCCACCTGCATGTTTAGCAACCAACGGTGAACCCTTAGTACAACGCTGGACCCTTGAGTACGTAGTGAGAATGTTCACTTCATAGATCACCAGATGTTCAAGTGGCCGTTCCCATTGGTGTATATGTTCAACCTTTCTATACTTTCTTTCCCTATTGTCTAGCACTGAGTATCACAAAGTTCTGTTTCTGTTGATCTCTCAATACAATTTTCTCATCCCATATTGTCTTAGAGATGCAAGAGACTAGTGGCTGGTGAGAAGTTGGACATCCGTAAGTATATGGAAGTTCGATCTCTATTGCAGCCAAATATCAAACAGCAAATTGCGAATGCATCATTTTCAAAGTGTTATCAGCTCATTCTACACGGATCTACCATTCAAACTTACCTCGAGTCTGCATAAACGCCGATTTTAGTGTCGTTGGCTGCATTTAACTTTCATCCCCACTGTAACCCCAGCTTCGGAACTCAACGGTCTTCGAATATAACCCATCTTTGTCATCACTTTGAGTGATTTACCAATTCAACAAGTTCCTCTTCGTGTCTATCGACTTTCCTCTACATTTGAAATTCTTCATAAGCAGAAATTTCTCGATACTTTACCAACAGAATTTGAAGTCAATCATAAATCCATATAAATCCTTTCGTCTAGCTTCAATAGAATATCCACTGCAAAGACGGGTCTCGTTCAATAAGTTTCAATCATTTTCAGTTCTTTTACGGCTACAAACATCATGGCATCCAACACGACTAAAGTTCCACAAATGCAAAGTAGATCTTCCAAACGAAGTCGCAATCGTACATTACTCTCATGTACAGAATGCCATAGGAGAAAACAAAAATGCAATCGAAATCATCCCTGTAATGATTGTCTGGAGCGACGTGTTCCACATAAGTGTCATTTTGTGATACCTTTGTAAGTGTCCATTGATATAATACCAAGAACTCTTATTGATTTGGAGAAACGAAGAAGACAGAGAGATTCAAAACTTGATTATCAAACCACAAAAGCTGCTCGTGATCGAAGGATACTTGCTGGGAAAGAAGTTCTACTTAGCCTTGAATCGGTAGACGATCTAAGAAGCGTTGGATCTTCTTATGCATCCACTCGTGCACCTACAGATTTGATGCAGACCTTGTTCTCTAATCGTACTTCTACCCATGATATAAAACTACAGGCTTCTTTCTGGCCCAATCTAACGAGTGGGATTCTGGACGGGTTCGATCCATTTTCGATATTGCCAGATACAAGTGGAGATCCACTTCCCAAATCAATTCTCATAGAATACTGTAAGCAATTGATTTCACATCTCGGGAGAAGTTTTACTGATAACAGAAAGTTATTAAGCAATTAGGTCCGTGGCTTGGTACATATGATGATGCTAAAGTTGTGGGTCGCCCAGCATTCTCTTGGCTACCATTTGCTTTGCAACATCCCCCATTATTTTATGCTACGTTATTAGGCGCGGCCGTTCATCTAGACCGCAAAAGACCTATAGACAAACGCAGTCTGGTCTGGTACAAGATTGAGACAATGCGTTTAGCAAATGAAACAATGAATGTACCTCACGAAGCTGCTACGGATCAAATGCTTCTAGTAGTTTTAATCTTGCTTTATTTCAACGCAAGTCTTCACCTTGATATTTAAGTGTCGAGCTGACAATAAATCATAGGTCGGTGGTGGAGATGGAGAAGAATACGAAATGCATCTCTCAGGTATCAACCAAATGTTAACCATGAGAGGAGGTATGGCCAATCTAGGAATGAGAGGTATGATTAAAAACTGGCTAGGAGTCTGTTATGGTCCTTGGCATCCTGATTGGCACTATGGTCTTTTCGTAGAGTTTTATGGCATCCAACGACCATCGCATATGTGACGAAATAATCATATTCCAGATTTCGGTTTGCCAAACTGCCATAAAGTTTGAAATTCTAAAATTACTCCTTCTCGAATCATCCATCACCAACTAGGCCAACAACTGTCTGCAGTCACTTTATTCTACAAACTCTTCTTCCACTCTTCCACGGTCAACACCTCATTGGCAAATAATGGCCATATGAGATCAGTTGCAGCATCCTTTACCACGGTATTAAAGCCTGCCGTTGCATCTTTAAGCATGGTTATATGATATCCCCTAGTTTTGTCATCAGCCCCTGTCCAAGACACGCAAATCGAAAGTTAACTTACAATTCATAAGCATATCTTGCCGTGGACTCCAAACAAGTATTTGCCGTCAATCCGGCAAATACTAGGTGTGTGATATCTCTTTGCTTCAACTGATAATCCAAATCAGTGTTTGCAAATGAACTGTTTATCTTAAATTAGTTATCCTCGCTTTCTCAATCATATCTTCAAAATACACGACATGATACATACCTACTGCACCAATGTTTACTAACAATCACGTCTCCATTTTCCTCCACATCTGGCTCCAATCCTTCATAAATCTCAACCCCCCATGACCCCTCCTCAAAAGTCTTGCTATCTCTTTGACCCTGCTGCGTCACAGTTGTATGTTCCCAACCTGCTATAAACCCTGCTTTTACCTGTTGATGCAAACCATAATAGATGGGTATTTTCTGAGCACGAGCAATAGTCACGAGATTCTGGAGATGAGAAATGGTGTTTGTAGCGGCGATAGATTCGGCGAGAAGGTGATTGACTTTGCCTTTGGGGTGGAGGAAATCATTGTAAGGATCGACGAGAACGATTGCGGTTTTGTTGGTGGATGACATTTTGGGAGGATTTGTTGGGTGAAATAGAGGGCGCAAATAAGTATTGTGATTGAAGAATGATGACCTGAAAATATGGTTTGAGTTGGATTGAATGAATAGAGATGGAATGGAGTTTTCTTGTGTCTTTATATATTTCTTTGTAAGTTGATTATACACAGGAGAGCACCCCTCATTGATAGACTAATATCGGATTTTATGCATGTACGCTAAGCGGAATATTGCAAAGCATCATGCTCTCCTTGCTTTGTCAGCGGATTTTCTGAACATGATACAAATCGTCGCTGCCTACATACAAGTTCGAATATTTAGTCTCGGATAATACTCATTATTATTATTATTAGCATGTTAGCTGATTTGGCTGGGATGTGGAGAAGACTAAAATCGGCATTAAGGCATGATTAGATGATGAAATGCGGGGTATACACAAGGCTGAATTCAGCCAATGAATGGGATTGTTTTCTGTTTGGGGGTGATGACTGTGTGTGATATGGTTTTTTGTTTGGGTCTTGTTTTCATGAGGTTTGATTGGTTTTTGGTTTTTGGTTTTGCTACTTGTGTATATTGTTACGAAGTTCTGTATAAAGCAGAGTCTTTTTCTTGTTTCTGTGTCTGCTAGACACACTCACATCCTCACTTTCGACGTGGAAATCCCAATGTGTTACGTTCATTCGAGATGCCCAAGATGCCCAAGTAGGTAGACAAGAATAGTTATCTTGAAGCAGAAAGTCCAACATCAAGACAATCTAGCTTTTAACCCTCATTCCATTCATTACTTATTTTATTCAAAACTAAATTTACTATCCCTTTATAATGATTTGTAGTTCACAGTGGTTCATTTCCTTCATTTAGGGCTCGTTCGGATCGATTTGTTTTTGGACATTAGACTAATATATTAGTCTAATATAGTATTTATCGAACACAATATTATATCCAATATATATTAGCTTAAATAAATGTGTTTACTGAATGTAATAATAGATCTAATAAAATATTGAGTCTAATAATATTAAAATAATAAATATAATAAATTTTCTTAACCTTTCTTATACAATAATTAATAATAGTTTTTGAAATCTAATTGAATCAATATATTTAAGAAAAAGTATTATCTTCTTTATTTTCAATTCAATTTCTTTATTTTCAATTCAACCTCACATATCCCAATATCACTCTAAATATATTAGCTTCATTCAAATATTAATATTTCAAATCCCTTGCCATTTTATTATTATTAAAGATTTTATTAATAAAATAAAAAATAGATTCGAACGAACCCTTACTATTGTTTTTCAGGCGGTTATTTACAAGTGATTGAATTCTAAGGTAATCTTATTCAAGACTATTGCTATCATATTGATGCCTTGCTCTAGGTAGTTTGATGACCCGAGGTCTTTGAGGGTTCTCTTTGAAATTATCTAGCTGCTCACATGTGTTGACAATCTATGGAAAAAAGTTAAAGTGAATAAAAGTACTTAAATTAACGAACATGAAGTCATGTCCGAGGTTGCACCACTCATTGCTTGCTATTAGAAGCTCATTAGAGATGGGAAAGATTCATAATGATAATGATGGATGCACTGCCTCCCTATAGGCTTATACACCTACTTGCCTAGGTACTCTCATGCACTAATTCATATATATATTAACGATTCACTACAAGAGATTAGCTACAAACTTGTATAATCTACACCTTACAAATTGGTACAGCAGCCGAACAAGCATAAATACTTTCATGTCTCATCATCTTTCTCGTCCTTTATTCCACATCATTTTCGATGTATTGTACACCTTGTTTTTCATAACAAAGTTCCATTGTATCTAGTTTGTAACTATACTACCTAGCTCGACCACCAGAGAAGCTTTACAACATGTTGCCCGACGATTTAGCTAGTTCTTACTCAAGCTACAAGGCAGATACGTCTTTGTTCACAAATTGTAGGTGTCATTACTCCAAAGTGAGAAGTTTGAGCTAATTTTCACACAGGGCTTTTCAAATCCGCCATAGCTTGTGGCTATAAGATACCGATAGTCATATCTCCAATTCAAGATGTCTTGACACCAGTTCCAGTCTTAAAGCCACAGCCCAGGCTCAAAGGGAAGGCTAGAAAGCTCGCCAAAGAATCTAAGGAGAGACAAAAGATTCAAGAAAGTGTACCTGTGTTGAGAGCGCCCTCAAATAAGTACACTATCACAACAACAGAGATCTTGAAGCAAGCCGATTTTGTCACTGGAAAGATTGAGCTACCACAGTCGGTTCGCAAGGTTCTTCAGAGAGCGATCCAGGCTCGACATCGCTGTGCAAATTGGTTCGAGTCGTCCAATTTTGAGAATCAGTCTTCGAACAAAGGTCATCAACATTTCATTGGACTTCTACAAGACATTCTCAGTGCTCTAGACCAGGGCCGAAATGACAGGAGTCGATCGAATAGCACGTATGTACCAAACAAGACCACAACAAAGTCCCAAGACACGGAAGCTTCTTGGAATGAGATATCCAATAGCTTTCAAAACCTTGGCGTCGAAGACTGTTTGGAAGAAGACAGTGAGATCGAAAATGATGAAGAAAGTCCAGAGCCCAATACTGACACCCCGGACACTTGCGAACTAGAAGAAGAATCCTTGGAGATGAAGATGAGCATGATGATCTTCTATTTCTTTGAGGATCTTCATCGGATTCAAAATTTCCTGCGTGGAATATGGAAGAGATACAAGGATAAGACGCTAGATCTCCTCAGCGCTACCTTGATCACAAATGCAGCTTTTGAGTCAGTTCGCCGTAGTGAACAGGAAATCTTGAGCAATGCACCAAAGTTATTCTCAAAGAAACGATCATATGACACCATTGCAGCTGTCATCTTCTACGCAAACGGACTCAACACAGGGAAAGACCCCACACAGAAAATGGAGTCGAAGGAATGGTTACGGCCTACACCATTTGACGACTTCATATATCTATCCACTGCTCGTATTTTGATGAAATACGATAAGCTTTATAAGATAGGTCCCGTCTATCCCATTCCTACACTTCCGTTACGATCAGCTTACATCTCATGCCCGGAGATTCTGGGAACTCCTTACATGGACAAGAAGGAAAAGGAGGATGTCTTACTCTCACAACTCATCATGGATCTTGACTTGCTCGACGAACATAACAAATTCACGAAAAATGAGGAACATCAAGCTCCGGCACAATATGCACCTCCAGCCTCAGATGCTTTGACTTCCGGCTTGTTGAAATTAAAAGACGAAGGAAACATCAGCGTCACTGTCGTATTTGCCTCGCAAATATTCCTCGATTTGAACGAGATACTTGGCGATAACATCCGAGAAGGACGCGAAGATTGGGAGAGATTGGTTTCTAAAGGTCAACCTAGTCTAGATTCCTGTGTCTTTCTTCCAAAGGATACCGCTAGTGGTCACACGTGGAGTCCTAACGATATACATACGATTAAGAAGATAGTCGAAATCAATTTCAGGTATACCGACTCCACAGCGCTCATAAGATTTAAGCAGCGCTTCCTGAAGTTCTGCTCAGGGCCAGATTGGGGCAAAGTTTATGATAACGAGTCCACTTCTACAACAGGCTTGGTTAATCGCTTGGATCAAGAATCAAGTAGCGCTTCTGTCCTCCAACCAATGGCGAGCAAGAACACATACTGCACGGAACAAGGAAACCTACCAGGAGTACAGTTCTCAAAAGATCTAGTGCTAACCAACACCTATACTCGGTTTCCAGAGTGGGGTATCCTTTGGGATGGCAAGTTAGCCTATGATTGGAGCGAAAAATGGTTGGTACGCATTGGCGCAGTTACGAAAGCTGGTAACACTGAGACACGCAATCAGCAACTCATTGAAGGTATCAGACAGCTCGATATTCGATTGGTAAAGCCTCCTAGCGACCCAATCTTTTTTTACACACACAATCCTATTTTTTGTGGGATGGTTGCTCTCAGATTATCGACGAGCTACGACGAGGCCGGTCTTGCCCATTCTGATTATCACCTTGTCATGACCTTCGCGGCACATCTGTACGAGGAATGTGTAAGAACCAAGTTTATTAAAAAAAGATGGCCAGCACTGGAAACAATGATAAAGCTACACAGGAAGGAAGTTTTTGATGGAATCGTGCCAAAGTCCGCAGACGAGGCGTACAATATATTCTCCAAACGCTTTTTCCTTTCCAAAGTTTCAGATCGAGAATATACCAGAACAAGACGTTCACCAAATATGACCATGCCTAAACTGTCCAGAAATACTCTCAGTCTAGCTATCCGTCCATTTCTGGAGCACCAAGCCACTTTCGATGAAGCCACCAATAATCTCCAGAATCTAGTCCAAGATCTTCCGGCGGCAGCAATGAGGAAAGACAGAAATCGACGTGCAAAACGACAACTCACTTCATTACAATTCCTTCGTGTTTTGGAAGACTTTCTGCCCGATGAGATACCAAAATTTCAATTCGATTACATCTCGTTGACAATCCTTTGTTATCGCCTATTGGAGAAAATTCGATTGGGAATCGATCCCACTGGAAAAAAGAATCCAAAGCGGAAATTGCTCTGTGGAATTGAACCGGCGTATTTGTATATGACTTTGGATATACTATCTAAAGGGAGGACTGGAGGCGAAAACCCATTGTTGAAAATTGCAGCGGGGGTGTTCGACAAGTTTTTGGAGGAGGAAATTTTGAAATAAGGGGTTAGAGCGCTCGATGAACTTATTCAAAGTGTTTCGTATCTAGGAAAATATCATGATATTGTATGGTCATGATCTTAAAGAGGAGGGTAGGATTAATGTTTGTTAGGGTACTGTTGTGAAAGCAAGTTGCGTTACATAGAGTATTGAATTGTATTGATTATTAAAACAACCATCATTTTGATCTTCGCTTCTGAACATATGATTTTGGAGAGAAGACGATTCCTGCTGTCTCTTATTTCGAACGTCTGAGTTGACGCAACTGTTATAGTACATAAACGTGAACATCAAGAGTGAGTTCCTGGCCTATGTAAAATGATATCGAGATTTACTTTGATGGCTCTCTGTTGCACATCTATCCAGGGATATGATATGAAATTTAAATTCACACTAATTCCAGGACACAGGAAACTATGTTGCTAGCCCTGAATCCAAGGAACTCTATTTAAACGTATCCTCTCCATGAATTTGAAAAGACTTCTTATCAATCTTCTATCCTACCGATCGTTGCATATCTGCCCAGGGATATCTCTATACTAATGTTGTACTATGCTAGTATTTTACAATCAGCTCAATGTTGCAGTCTTTACTTAATTTCGAGACACCAACCCAGACTAGAATGCTAGTCATTTGCTAGCTCTTCCGGCACCCAGATAGAAGAATTTGATCACACATTACTCCTAGCCATATACCTCTTAGTTCCTCTTACTGATATCTAACATAAAAAAATTGATGCATATTTATACGAGATACCCGAATAAAGTTTAACTAAGTGACGACAACAAGCCAATATCATTCCACTGAAACCATAACGCGAACTTTCCGCAAAGGGGCAAGTATTCGAAATCGCATTCAAAGTAGCTTGTTATATGTCCTTCACTAACACTTATCTACAATTTTTGAACACTTCAATAAGACTTTTCGGTTTAGGATATTTATTAAGTCGGGTACCCTACTTTCGGATTACCCCCCTTTTGAACCATTCTTTTATACCAAAAATCACTTTTTAGACCTATTAATATTTCTATTAATATTCAATATAATTCAATAAAAATTTGTATATATATAATTTAAATCGATTTAAGCTTATTCTGAAATTTTTAGATTTTTAGGATTTTTCTATATTGAGGGTTAGAGTTTCAAAATATCGATTTTCAAATTTGTATAGGAATTATATACAAATTTAAGTTTTTTATTAAATCTTTAATAACTTTTTAATAATATTAATTAAAAGAAAACTATATATATTTTTGAGATATTTAAGCTTGAATCTATATAGAAATTCAAAAAAAAAATTCAAAAAAATTAATAGATGTAGAGATATAGTATATAGTGAGTTTAGAGTAATATAAATAATCCCTGTCATTTTGAGGGTACTTTTATAAATATTTATTTATAAGAAATTTTTTATTTTTTTCTGAATCTCTTATATTGAATATACTATAAATTTATAGTAAAATTTTGTAGTTTATTTTTAGCAATTTTTATTAGAAAGTTATTAAAGATTTTATAAAAAGTTTAAATTTGTATGTAATTTCTATACAAATTTGAAAATCGATATTTTGAAACTTTAGATTTTAATACAAAAAAATCCTAAATATCTGAAAATTTCAGACTAAGCTTAAATCGATCTAAATTATATATATATATAAATTTTCATTAAATTCTATCTATAAATAAGAAAGTTATAAATTCCATTTTTAGTGTATTTTAGATATAAAAAGTGGCCCAAAAGGGGGGTGGCCCGAAAGTAGGGTACCCGACTTATCAGAAATTCTCATTCCTATATATAGAGTGCCTGTGACCAGCTAAATCCCATGAAAAAATGTTTTGTTGCACGTCTGTATTCGGCTCTTGTTCGGCTCTTGCCCGGCTCTTGTCCGGCTCTCCTAAAAATGCGGCTCTCCTAAAAATGCGGCTCTCTCAGAAATGCGGCTCTCTCAGAAACGCGGCTCTCTCAGAAACGCGACTCTCTCGACAATGTGGCTCTCTCGAAATTACGACTAGGCTAGCATTGGGAACTAGTCGGCCGCTTGAGGAGCCGAATATCATGTCAATAATATCCATGGATCTCTAACGTGACCTTAGGATATATTAACTGCAGGCCAGCCCTCGATCAGCAGCATGCCCTCTCTACTCTACCACCTTTTGGCTGCTATATCATTGTGACTGTAAATACCTACGAATATGTATCTCTCACTATCAGTTGGCGAATGATCGAAATACTTTTCAGAGTTGAAAGATAAACTCGCAAATAAAAACATTCACTACTAGGAACTCTCATCTCACATGTGACATACCTACAATAGGCTAAGAATTACAACCAAAAAGTTTTGTTGCATGTCTGTATCTGGCTCTTGTTCGGCTCTTGTATGGCTCTTGTTCGGCTCTCGAAATGCGCTTAGTATTACATAAGAACTCGTTAGCCGCGTGGAAGAGCCGATTATTATGTCACTTACCATCCGTCATGATATATCGATTGAAGTCCAACCTTGGTCACTGGCATGCCTTCTCCACTCTACCACCCGTTAGCTGCCATACCTTGGTCACTGTGAATACTTACGAACACGTATCTCTGGCCAATATTTGACCAACGACTGACAGACTCAGACTTTTCAGATATGCAACAAAACCTCTCAATCAAAATCATTCACCACTAGAGATTCTCATCTCACACATAAAATAACTATGATAAGCTAAGATTTACAATCGAAAAGGTCTGTTGCACGTCTGACATCAACGGTAAAAGAGAACTGTTACTATTCCTTCCTAGGTAACCATCCTCTTCATCCCACCAGGTCTTGACCCATCTACCCAATTCCAATTCCAAAATTTAACCTTCACTTCACTTCAACCTTCAACCACAAAAGTGAAATACAGATATGCAACAAACCCCTCCAGCCCTCCACATTCACTCAAACCAACCCCCAGCACAGACTCCATCCCTATTCACCCCCTCTCAAAAAAATCCAGAAATCAATTCCAACATCATCCGCCAATAGAAATCTTGAATTGGGTTTTCAGATGTGCAACAAAACTCCTCGTTGAAGATAAGAGAGGCATTCACTTGCCGACCCTCCAGCATCGATGTTGTATGCATGAGTTTTATCCGCTTCAGGAGACCTAGATTCGTACGCTACATCATGTTGATTTGGCGCGGCGGTATATGTATGAATACTACCACTAATGATTCTTCAGACACTCTCCTCCCTCGAACTTGATTTGCATGTTATATCAGGATAAGAAATGCAAACAAGCAGACAGGGGAACAACCTCGTCTAGATTATACATTATTATCCAAGTCGGATATCAGATATACGTGAATAGGTGGTCATCAATCCCATCTACTTCGATAGCGATATATGAATCTCCACTAAACACATTTCAAAAGTACTGCATCTCCACATAACTCGCAGGAAAGTGTTCACAAACACAAGTGCGCACTACTAAACAACGAATTCACAGAGAACCATTGCACCTAACTCTTTGAAGTACACAATTCCAATGGTCATATCAACTAAAACATGCAAACTACCATACATCCAAGGCAATATTGTGCACTAGCATTGCGGAGGGAGAGTTTGAATAGCTTTAGTAGGATGTCTACTAGAAAGCATAAGAATGGATAGATGATATCCAAGGCTGCATTGAGAACCATGTTGCTATAAAGCATAACATCCAACGTAGTGAGCAGGATATAACAAAGCTCCGAGGGGATGTCAGCCAGCATTCCTATATTCTCCGGTTGGCGGGAATCTTCCAATGCCATGTAATGGAAAGCGAAAATGATAATGAAACTGAGTAGAGTTGAGTTGAATTGGTTTGAAGATAACGTCGAATGTCTCTTTAATTTATTAGCACATAAACTATATATTGAAGTCTACTAGCTCTGTTAAGAGTTCAAGAATCAATGCCGTATATCCTCTAATCGCGCCGCCATGTATGTCTGACACGTATGTTCCATCTATATACCATAACGCCTTGCAAATGCATCGTACTGGTCCCATGATTCCATGACAGCTTGTATATCCATCCATAATGTGTCTCCGATATGCGCATTGAATGAGTCACACTCCCCATTATGCCCCTCTCAATCTATATGGACAACCCAATGGGCTTCGTACTTATAAAGTCGAACCGATTATTCCAAACGATTCATTAATCCTTTCCTAACTTTCATATTGACAACCCCTCCAACACCAAATGCAGGCACAATTCTACATATTCTAGCCGCAGCACTGACGCCCCAATTCTTCTTTATGATACTCCATCTATCTCCCCACGTAACACCTTGGCCTCTGTTATATAGATCCAGACCCAATAAATGCATAGGCGTACTCAAAAGTTGTACGGAAGCCGGGGCCAAAAATTGAGAAATTGTTTGTCCACTTATCGATTTTTGTAATTCCTCGGACAGGTTCTTATTAATGATTGGACCAAGCATTGGTGGTATATTGAATGAAGCGAAAATGGTTAGACAATCGCGAGCAGTAAAGAGTATATATGAAGGGAATGGTACAGGTCTCGGTGGACCGGAGGGACCAAACATACGGGCAAATGTTTGATCTTTGAAAAGGCACAATCCGATGTTTGCAGTCGAACTTGCAACGAATTTCGAGGTTCCAGATGTGACTGTGGATGCAGGTTTATTGTGTATGGTGGATGTAACAGTATCGAGGGTATTGGCTGTTAAATATGTGCCTCCATATAACATACATATCAGGGCGAACGGTTTCGAGAAGATAAGACTGTGGGGCCGGAGAATAAAGCTCTTGAGGGATAATCGTAATGAGTCTTTGAGTGTCGCTTGACCCGAGGCATTTTGCATGATACCTCTGTTATAGTATTAGCAATTGGCGCATGAATCAGAGAGTTGAAACTTACTTATCAATGATAGTGATAATTGGCGCAACCATAGTTGCAGCAGTGGCACCAGACACAAAATCTACACCCAATCTATATGGCAGATTCTTTGTATTCCATTCTCGAGGTTCTGCTAT